CTCTTCTCCAGGGTGACCAGCCCCAACTTCCTCAGCCTGTCCTCATAGGGGAGATGCTCCAGTCCTTTTATCAACCTCATGGCCTCCTCTGGACTTGCTCCATCAATTCCATGTCCTTCTTATGTTGAGGACACCAGAACTGCATGTAGTATTCCAGGTGGGATCTTGCAGGAGCAGTAGAGGGGGGAAATCACCTCTTTTGACCTGCTGCCCACACTCCTTTTGATGCAGCCCAGGATTTGATTGGCTTTCTGGGCTGCTAGCACTCACTGCTGGCTCATTGTGGGTTTCTTGCCCACTGTCACTCTCAAGTCTTTCTCCTCATTGCTGGTCTCAATTACTTCCCCACCCAACCTGTAGGTGTGCCTGGGATTGTCATGGCCCAGATATAGGTCCTTGTACTTCGTTTTGTTAAACTTCAGTAGGTTTGCATGTCAAGGTCCCTCTGGATGTCCCATCCCTTCCCTCCAGCATGTCAACTGCCCCACACAACTTGGTGTTGTCAGTGAACTTGCTGAGGGTGCACTCAATCCCACTGTCCATGTCACCAACAAAGATGTTGAACAGTATTGGCCCCAACACCAACCCCTGAGGGACACTACTCCTTACTGGCCTCCACATGGACAATGAGTCCTGGACCACAACTCTGTGTGTGACCATCCAGCCAGTTCGTTATCCACCGAGTGCTCCACCCACCAAATCCATGTCTCTCCAATTTAGAGACAAGGATGTTGTGCAGGACAGTGTCAAACACTTTGCATAAGTCCAGGTAGATGATTTCGGTTGCTCTTCCCGTACCTACAAATTCTGTGGCCCCATCATAGAAGGCCACCAAATTCATCAGGCATGACTTGCCCCTAGTAAAGCCATGTTGGTTATTACCTGTCACCTCTTTGCTTTTCGTGTGCCTAAGCATAGCTTCCAGGAGAATCTACTTTATGATCTTGCCTGGCACAGAGGAGAGACTGACTGGTCTGTAGGTCCCTGGTTCTTCTGCTTTCCCCTTTTTAAAAGTGGGGGTTATATTTCCCTTTTCCCTGTCATCAGGGACTTCACTTGACTGCCAGGATTTCTCAAAAATTATAGATAGTGGCTTAGCAACTACATCAGCCAGTTCCCTCGGGACCTGAGATCTCATCTCATCAGGACCCATGGACTTATGCACATTCAGGTTCCTGAGATGGTCTCGAACCTTATCCACTTCTATGGTGGGTGATCCTCTTCTGCACTGGTTAGGCTGAATTTTTAGTCTACTATGAAGTTAATGCATTTTTGCATCCAATACCAAGTGCCCGTGTTCAAAAGTTGTGATTGAAAGCTTATTCCCCTTTCAAGTGCAGTAACGGCAGCGTATTTGCTCAGGCTTCTATGTACAGTGAGCGTGGTAGATTGATGGAGTTTTATTTCAGGAAGCTTTGCCTATCAAACAGCTTAGTTTGGAAAGCAGAGCAGATGCAGATGAGTTTCAGCTGTAGCTGCAATTGGTCTGAAGATCAGCCCTTCTTACAAGGATGCTAGGTCTTGTGCAGTGGACAGATTAGTCATTTCCTCATCCTCTTTGGTCCTTTTCCTCCTTGCCCCACCCCATTTTTTTTTTTCAGGATATTGCTTCCCAAGTGGATTCCATTTCATCCCTCTAATTTATAAAAGGAGGAGAGCCATGCACACAAGCAACCCTGTCTTTAGTCCTGTGTCTGTATTTTTTCAGTGAAAATTGATTGGAGATGTAGAAGTTTTTGTTGTGCCTTAGTCAGGTGAATCTGAAAAGAGTTAGAATGGTTATGCAGTTCAAATTGTTTGGACCTGCATCATACCTGCACTTGTTGTCTTTGTTCAGAGTGTCTCTTTTTGTGAGACACTAGATTCAATCTCTGAGCACAGGCCACAAACTTAAGGTGGGTTTTCCCGCTTCATTTCAGTGGGAGAAGAAACAAATTGATTATTCCAGGGGTATTCTAGGTTTGAGAATACTGAAGAGGTGAACCAAAGATCTTGTTTCTGAATGGTGGCTACCAAGATCCTCATCCCTACTTTTTTGAACTTAGATTTATTTGTGCTTTTGATTGCAGGATACCTTATTTTGTCAGATCAAATGATCATCTGTTTCTTTCTTGTGTGTTTCATTGTTTGGGTGTTTGGGGTTTTTTTCCCATATGTGAGATTGTTGAAAATGATATCAGGATGCTTTCTGCCCCTTACCAAGATATTAAGTATTTTCTAGTACTGAAGACACCTAGTAGCCCCTACAGTGGTAACTGACATCATCTGACAGGCTGTATTGCAAGCTAGCATGGAATTACATGCCAAGCATTGACTTGATGCAGAAAAGAGAAATGGTCAATAAAATTAACTAGATTTCTAGTAACAGATGACCTAACAGCACTACTAGTGTTGAGAGGGAAGGGCCTGTTTACCTTATTTTTCATTTAGTGACAATTAGTTTGGAGGCTGTTAGCCACAGGACTAGCTTGTAAATGGGAGTGTTAGAGCAGAATATGTATACAGAACATCTCTTTGTGGCATTTAGTCTTTGTGGAGGAAACTTCCAGTTAGTCTGTTCAAGAGAGAGCTGTGCTTACATGTAGCATGTTGTGAGTTTCTGGTTTGAATTGTTGGTTTGATTACTATAATTACTTAACTTACTCATTTATATTGCTGTAAGTCACTTGTCTTTATGGCCACCTCTTTTAACTCCATTTGGCAACAATGAAATTTTCATAGATTTTGTGCTATTTTTTCATTTGGCAGAAGGTGATGCCTGTTTTTCAGACTAGGTATGTGGTGGGTCTGCAATTTATTTTCGTCAGGCCTCATGGTATGAGAGGATGAATTGGGATTTGCTTATATTTGAATTTAAACTGCAGTGGAGAAAATGAAAGGATTTTTGTTACTTTTCTTGTATTACGTATTTTAAGCAGATTCTTGGA